CAATAAAAATCTTTAAAAATAAATAAATAAATGAATAAAAATTTTAAAAAAGATAATTCAAAGAATCTTAGTGGCCAACATCTGTGGCTCCTATACTGGCTTTGTAAGCAGTTTGGTAACGGGCAGAGGTGGTGGGAGAGGGATGACAGATTTTTGTGCATTTATGACAGCATCGGCATTGATGGCACGGCCAGTTTTTAATGTAGCAATGGTGGAGAGGGCAGCATATGCAAAGCAAATACTGACAAAAAACACAAAAATCAGAAAAGCAACCTGAAGACATCAAATACCGAAAAGAGCTCTTGCAGGGCTTCAGTATAGGATGAGTTCCAGCAAAAACTATTGAAAAGGGATCGATTATCGGCCCTCCGAACATCCTCATTGAACAGATTGTTCAAGTAATGGAAGAAGAAAATCCAACACATCTAGTAACCTGGCATCAAGTAGGGATTTTCTAACAAGCTTTGTTTAATAATCATGATACCGGGCCAGCCGAGTGGCTCAGTTGGTTAAGAGCTCCCTCAAGAGTTTGAGCTCTAAGCAACAGCAGTTCGAGTGGCCCGAGCTGAGCAGCCGCTGAGCTGCCAACAGGTGGCAGGATGGCTCAGCTAAAAAATAATAATCATGATACCAAGAGGTGACAGGCCCTATATTATTCCTATAACAAAGAACTAAGGAGCAAGCTTTGGAGGAGGAGGGGTGTCAGTCATATGCCACAGGCATGTCAAGTTTCCAAGACCATCCCCCAGCAGCAGCCCCTGTGTGTCTTCCCCAGGTGCCCCCCAGCTCCTCTGAGCCAATAAAGTGTGTCTGGTGGCTCCCCCCACCCCCAAGCAGTGCTGCTCCAGAGGAGGGGCTCCAGGACCGGGGCCATTTCAGAAGACACCTCACTGAATGGAGTTGATTTGTTTTAGATTTGACCAAGAATTGATGGTTTCTGGTAAGAAAAACTTGTTCGTTGAGTTGCATATAGAGTGGATTTCTTTGAAGTCTTTATAAATGGAGTTCTTTCAGGCAGGAGTTGTCATAACCACTAGTACCCTGCGTGGACTACTTTGCTGCTTCTGTGCTGGTCACCTTGATTTACAGACATTGATTTATTTGGCTTATTCTTGAAGCCTCCTGAGTGATTGATAGAGCGAGTGGGAGCAGTGGTTTTCAACATCAGCTGGGGAGTTTGTTAGAAATGAAGATTCCAAGGCCCCAACCCTTAGAGATGGTAGTTGGCCTGGAGTGGAGCCAAGGAATCTGCATTCAAAACACTGCCCTTGCCACCACAGCTAGGTAATTTTTTTTTCAATTTTATTGGGGAACAGTGTGTTTTTTCCAGGACCCATCAGATCCAAGTCAAGTAGTTGTTTCAATCTAGTAGTGGAGGGCACAACTCAATGCCCATGTGGGGATCAAACCAGCAACCTTGGTATTATGAGCCTGCACTCCAACTGAGCTAACTGGCTGCTCTAAGTAATTTTTTTTTTTAATTGGGGAATTGGGGGAGGGGGACCAGTCAAGTTGTTCTTCAGCCTTAGTTGTGAAGGGCGCCAGTTGCCATCTGGCTGCCTGTCGGCAGTTCAATGGCCTCTAAGCTCAAGATGCTGTTACAATCTTAGTTGCAGGTGGGCGTAGCCACCATCTCATGTGGGAGTCGAACCAGCAGATTTGTTAAGAGTACACGCTCTATCCACTGAACCATCTAGGTGGCAGCTCAGTTCAAGATGCCGAGTTCAATCTTAGTTGCGGACAGACATAGCCCACCATCGAACAGGCAGACTTGTTGTTAGGAGCACGTGCTGTCACCAGCTGAGCCATCCCACCACCCATTGGCAGGCAGCTCAGCTCAGGCACAGCATCACTGGTCCATGTGGGAATCGAACCGGCGGCCCCGTTGCTCAGAGCTTATGCTCTTAAGCTAACTCTAAACCAACTGAGCCATTCGGCTGGCCCCTGCCCTAAGTAATTCTGATTTGTATATCTGAGGCTACATTTTGTCCTTGGACTACAGTATGTCTTAGTATGATCACTACTTAAGTTATACTTTTACAATAAATAGTACTGTATAATAATATTACACTTAATAGTGAATTGCATCCTGGATCTGAAAAACTGACTTTGGACATGGTTCATTCTGGGATACACTCAGGAATACCAGCCTTGCACAAGTCTACATACAGTGAAAACCAGCTGTAACCCTACCTAGATCTCAAAAAGTGAACGGGAGGGCCAGCCGAGTGGCGCATTGGTTAAGAACTGGCTTGGGACGCTAGAGGGCACTGGTTCGGATCCCACATACGAGGGCCAATGACACTGCCCTCGACAGCTAAGATGCTGAACAACAGCTCAACCTGGAGCTGGGCTGCCGTGAGTCGCCGGCGATGGCATAGGCTGCAGCCCCTGTGGCAGTGGATTGCCATGGGCTACTGTGTGCAGCCAGCATGAGCGGCCAGCAGCCACCGTGAGCAGCCGTCCAGAAGCCAGCGACTGATCTGCCTCGCCCGGGAAGAGCGCAATGATGGTGCCAACTTGGGCCAGTGAAGCAACGTCCTCCACAACTGGACTGAAGAACAGACTGAAGAACAAAAGGGCAGCAACTTGTCTGTTCCCCTTCCCCTAATTCCCCAGCACTGTTCCCATCCCCCAATTCCTCAATAAAAATCTTTCAAAAAAAAAAAAGTGAAGGGGATTCTCACAAAGAAAATTAACCAAAAACACAGCTTTATAAATAGTTTTATATCCTGCATTTTAGGGGGAAAAAAATCAGTTCTTCACATTGAAAGAGCAATAGTTTTGCAAGGTTTATTATGAAACTGCAGCCCTCCTGTCCTGCCTGCCCTTCTAACCCCTTTTCCCTGCCTCAGTGTAGTTCCTGTCAGTCTCAGTTTCGTTTCTATTTGCCTCCACGTCACACTTTAAACAAATTTGCAAGGTTACTACTTGGTGATTCATTTTAGGCATTACCTTTGACTTCTCTGACTTCCTCCTGCCTATCCTGCACGTACTCCCCAATCATCTATCTCCTGATACTGTAATCTAACTGTAATTCTGCTTAGATTAGATTCGGTGTTTATTACAGCTGGGTATTTCACAGCTGAGCCAGGTAGTGGACTATACTGCTTTCTTGCAGAACTTTTCCCTGGAATTAGTAATTCTCTTGTATTTTTATTTATTTATTTTTCTGTCTCCCCACCCCACCCCCATCAC